GACGCGAGGTCCAGTTGTGGTAACGGTAAGAAATGTATACGACTTAATGGGCCGAAACATTTCTTACCTATAACTAATATATCTTTATACCCCTTACTTATTTTAATATCCTTTCCTCTTCTTCATTGTTTCCTTTTTTTTCCTGATATTTCCTTTTTTAACCTTTAAAAAGATTTAAAACTAAAAACTATACATTTGGCCTACATTCAGTACTAGAGTACTTTAAAACTGTGAAAAATCTTCATGCGCCCAGAATCGCCGTTGCGGAAATGAGACCTGTATAAATTATAAGCCAAATCGATGGCTATCAGGACGCCTGTTGGTGAGGGATAAATTGACATATTATCGGTGGTATAATCGAGGAATTTCGCCCGCGCATAACGCTCCACATCATGCGAATCGTAATCACCCCAACGTAACTGAATATCCAGCCAATACTTCTGAGTGGTGGTATTGTCCATCACATCTCTGAAGATTTATTAATCAACATAAACTGATCAAAAACCCCCCAGCATTCTGATACGGTCACTAGGTGAAGCAGTGATACAGTAGTGAAGCCGCTAGCTGCAACAGTCGGGGGGAAGTAACACAACAATGGGAAGCAACTCCTCGAGGGATTCAAAACAACTCGGCAACAGCACCCAAGATTTCCAAATTGCCACCAAGGAAATCATTTTCCATTTATTCGATTTAAATATTTAATCTAAATGAATTTAAATAAAACTAATTTGATCGGGTTTTAATTTAAATAAAGCAAACACACAAATATTTAATATAAAGAGCAAATATTTAACAAAAATTTAACTCTGATTTAAATAAAAGCAAATATAGAAATATTTGCTAAATGCTTTTTACACTTAATTTAAAATGAAAAAAGCAATTAATAAGAGCAAATAGTTAATTTAAGTTTAATTTAAATAAAAAGCAATTCCCCAAAATACTAAACATAATTCCCCAAAATGTCATACGCCTAGCGAAAGGCTTCTACCAACATTCGAGAGGGAACAAAAATCTCCATTTTAAAGGTAACAAACCGCGAAGCTGGTGATCAACGGCTGATGATCAACAACGGCTCATTAAACACGCCAAACGTCTTCTGATGATGTTCAGAGAACTAAAAACGATAATAAGATCTGCATAAACGCTAACTTTGAATCGGCCAACAAAGAGGGTCGCGAGACGTGCCATTTGTACTGAGCGAAAAGAAGTATGTCAGCGCAAGAGCTGTTCATTTTGTATGATTTGCGCGGATGGATAGTTTCCTTCTGAACAGTTTGGATTTCCAGTGCATCAAGTTCTTGATCGAATACCTACAACAGCAACTGTATGATAAAAATTTCAGGATTTTCATTTCTGTGATAAAATTTCTGTAACAAAACTAAATGCAAAATTTTCAACTGTGTGATAAAAATTTCAGGATTTTTGATACCCAGGATTTCTATTTCTGTAACTCCTATGGATCACCGCTGTCATAAAAAAGGTTATTGAATATTGAAGCGAACCTGGCATAGATCCATAACAACTGATTCATGAATTTTCTGCCATAAGTGAGCACGGAAAATTTGAATCAATGATATTTTCAGTGTAGGTATTTTGCCGTGCATGAAAATTCCGGTCAAATCGAGTTGTACTTGGAAACCAACATATACC